GTGGTTGAAAAGGCCTTTCCTCCTGGCCAAAATTCAAAACAATAGTTTCAAGTACGGTGATGATGATAAAGATATGTAATGATCAAAAATTAAGACATAATGCGAAGAAAGCAGAAGATAAAACTGTATATGCTGTGTAATTTTCATTAGATAATTAAAATTAAGATAAATTTTTATCTAAGATAAACTTAGATAATTAAATTCAGAAGATTGGAAAGAAAAATCACTAAAATATTAAAAATTACTAGATCTGGGTGGTGAAAATATGGGTAATACTTTTCTTCTTAACTGCTATTTTTGAATTTTTAATTAACCTGTACTAATTATAAAAAGTACTCGTTCTATAAATTATATAAGAAATAGTGATCCATAAGAAGTATATACATTTGTCTTTATGTATTTTACATAGTAGAAACTCTACCATGAATGAAGTTATTTCATTTTGAATATGCATTGTCCTAAAATTGCCACTAATTTCATCTTTGGGGAGTGGTATTTTATTCTGTTAAAAAATGTAGTTCCTCTTACTACCTTCTGAATACTTCTTTCATCTTCATCTTCAGATGGATCTGACTGATGTTTTGGATTGTCCATTTGAAGGAATGCTCTGACATCTGGACTAAAAACAAGAATTAACTTTATTATAACTTCAAAAGCATTTCTACAGCTTTTCTCCTTTTAAAATAAAAATCAAAATATGAAAAACTATATTAGCACTTAGAATAAGCCAAACAAAATCTATTAATATTACTATAAAAGGAAGAAGCAAATTATTTTTTTTTAAATGGGGAAACCAACAGACAAATGGGAAAAGGCAGGAGGAGAAAACCCAAATGACAAGCAAATCTGTGAAAATGTCTAACTTCACTAATAATCAGAGAAATACAAATTACAATGATAATGACATACTATGTTATGTCCATTAACTGGCAAAAGTCAGAAAGACAATACCAAAAGTTGGTAAGGATATAAGGAAAGAGACACCCTCATGTATTGCTGATGAGAATGTAGAAAAAGACGACTTTTCTGAAAAGCAATCTGGCAATACTTGTGAAACTGTGTATTTTTTCTGGACCTGGAAATTGCAGTTATAGGGATAAAAACAATACAAAAAATTATGTACAGGTCCAGTGAAAGGCACGTAACCATGACATTCACTGCAGCATTCTCTATAGCAGTGAATTAGAAGCAAAATAGGCATCTACCCCCAGGGAAATAAGTAAATCAACTATGGTAACCGTCTACAGAGACTTACCAGTCAGCAGCCAGAAACAAGGAACTATGGACTATTCACATATATAGACATAAAGCGCCAGTCAGTCTCAGTTTGCCAAGGACGTATAGATATCCAAGGACACATATCAAACATATTTAAGTGGGTATCAATAGTGAGGATAAAGAAGTAGGTATGAAGATCAAGGATAAAGAGAAAAAATGGACTAAAGTTAAAGAGGGGTCGTGCAGGGATTAATGACGATCCTGAGAAATGATTCAATCTGTGTACCTGGTACCTCCTCCTCCCCAATTTGTTCTTAATAATGAAATACAAACAATATACATTCATTGTAGGGAACTCACAAGATAAAAACTCTTTTTAGAAAGGGGAGGGTTGGCATGCATGTAAAATGGTGCAGCTGCTGTGAAAAATAGTCTGGTAGCTCCTTGAAAAGTTAAACAGAGTTACCGTATAACCCAGCAATTCCACTCCCAGGCATATATCCAAGAGAAATAAAAACATATGTTCAGGCCAGGCGCGGCGGCTCACGCCTGTAATCCTAGCACTCTGGGAGGCCGAGGCCGGAGGATTGCTCGAGGTCAGGAGTTCAAAACCAGTCTGAGCAAGAGCGAGACCCCGTCTCTACTATAAATAGAAAGAAATTAATTGGCCAACTAATATAATATAGAAAAAATTAGCCGGGCATGGTGGCGCATGCCTGTAGTCCCAGCTACCCGGGAGGCTGAGGCAGGAGGATGGCTTGAGTCCAGGAGTTTGAGGTTGCTGTGAGCTAGGCTGACGCCACAGCACTCACTCTAGCCTGGGCAACAAAGTGAGACTCTGTCTCAAAAACAAAATAAAACAAAAAACATATGTTCACACAAAATCTCATATGTGAGTTATAGCAGGATTATTCATGATAGCTAAAAAGTGGAAACACCCCAAATGCCCATCAATGGATGAATGAATAAACAAACTGTGGTATTATCCATACAGTGGAATATTATTCAGCCATAAAAAGGAATGAAGTAGTAACACATGCTATACCATGGATGAACCTCAAAAACACAACCCTAAATGAACAAAGGAAGGAAAAAAGGTCACATATTGTACGATTTTATTTTAAATGGTATGTTCAGAATAGGCAAATCCATAGAGACAGGAAGCAGAACAGTGGTTTCCAAGGGTTAGAGGAAGAGATAATTTGGAGGTAGTTTCTTTTTGGGGGGATGGAAATATCAGTTTAGACTTTGGGGTAATAGAATTAGATAGTGATGATGGTTGTACAGCATTGTGAATATGCCAAAAACGACTGAACTGCACATGTTAAAATAGTTAAAATGGTGAATTTTATCTCTATACAAGGTGGGGGTGGGGATTTTCAATCTTAAGACATAGAAGCAATCACTATTAACATTTTGGCATATTTTATTTCAGTCTGTTTCTCTGCACAACTAAGATCACACTATACTTACATTTTTTTATCTGTTTTTCACTTAAAAATTACATTATACATATTTCTCCATGTAATTAAAAACTCTTTGTAAACAATAACTTTTGATAAATGTATGATGTTGTACAATGTAAATGCACTAAAAGTTACTTAATGATTCTTTCACTTTAGGATATATAGATGGCTTCCAACTTTTTACCATCCAATTTCATTACTACAAGTAATGCTGCAATTGGCCATCTTTGTGCTTATACTAGAACTGCATTTATGATTTTCAAGATGGATTTTTAAAACTAAAATTACTAGTCAGAATTATAAACAATTTTACAGCATTAAATAGTTTGTTAGACTGATTTCCAAAGAAGTTATACCAATTTACACTCCCCTAGCAGTATATGAACATCCTGAAGACTCTCCCAGCCTTGGTTCCCATTAAATGTTACAATTTATATGAGAGATAAATAGTAATCCAACTACGGTAACCGTCTACAGACCGACTACCAGTCAGCCAGCCAGAACAAGAAATGGACCTATTACATATATAGACATAAAGCGCCATCAGTCTCAGTTTGGCCAAGGTCGTATAGATATCCGGACACATACAACACTATTTAGTGGGTTATCAATAGTGGAGGATAAAGAAGAGGTAGAGATAGGATAAAGAAAAATGGACTAAAGTTAAAGGAGGTCGTGCAGGGATAATGACGATCCTGAGAATGATTCAATCTGTGTACCTGGTACATCCTCCTCCCCAATTGTCTTAGTAATGAAATAAACCCAATATATATTCATTGTAGGGAACACCAAGATAAACTCTTTAGGCGGGCGCTGTGCTCCACGCCATGTAATTCCTAGCTCTTGGAGGCCGGAGGCGGGCGGATTGCTCAAGGTCGGAGTCAAACCAGCCTGAGCAAGAGCGAACCCGCTCTCCTACTATACAATACGAAAGAAATAATTGGCCAACTGATATATAATATATAAAAATTAGCGGCATGGTGCGCATCCTGTCAGTCACCAGCTACCACTGGAGGCTGAGCAGAAGGATCACTCGACCAGGAGTTTGAAGGTTGCGTGAGCAGGCTGACGCCACGCGCACTCACCTGCCCTCGGGCAACAAAGTGAGACTCTGTCTCAAAAAAAAAAAAAAAAAACCAACTTTTTTAGAAAGGGAGGGTTGGCATGCATGTAAATGGTGCACAGCTGCTGTGAAAAATAGTCTGGTAGCTTCCTTGAAAAGTTAAACCACAGCTGGGGTGGTGGCTCACGCCTGTCATTTAGCACTTGGGAGGCTGAGGCGGGTGGAGTTGCTCGAGTCACGAGTTCGAAACAGCTGAGCAAGAGCGAGACCCGTCTCTATTATAAATAAAAAGAATTAATTGGCCAACTAATATAAAAAATCAGCCGGCATGGTGGCGCATGCTGTGTCCAGCTACTACGTGAGGCGAGGCAGCAGGATCGGCTTGAGCCCAGGAGACTGAGTTTGCCCTGTGAGCTAGGCTGACGCCACGGCACTCACTCTACCTGGGCAACAAAGTGAGCACGTCCAAAAAAAAAAAAAAAAAAAAGTTAAACAGATTACCTGTATAACCCAGCAATTCCACTCCCAGGCATATATCCAAGAGAAATAAAAACATATGTTCAGGCCGGGCGCGGCGGCTCACGCCTGTAACTAGCACTCTGGGGCCGAGGCCTGAGGATTGCTCGAGGTCAGGAGTTCAAAACCAGTCTGAGCAAGAGCGAGACCCCCATTCCTACTTATAAATAGAAAGAAATTAATTGGCCAACTAATATAATATAGAAATTAGCTGGGCATCGGTGCGCATGCCTGTAGTCCCAGCTACTCGGAGGCTGAGGCAGGAGGATGGCTTGAGTCCAGGAGTTTGAGGTTGCTGTGAGCTAGGCTGACGCCACAGCACTCACTCTAGCCTGGCAACAAGTGAGACTCTGTCTCAAAAACAAAATAAACAAAACATATGTTCATACAAAATCCATATGTGAGTTATAGCAGGATTATTCATGATAGCTAAAAAGTGGAAACACCCACATGCCATCAATGGATGAATGAATAAACAAACGTGGTATTATTCATACGGGGAATATTATTCAGCCATAAAAAGGAATGAAGTAGTAACACATGCTATACCATGGATGAACCTCAAAAACACAACCCTAAATGAACAAAGGAAGGAAAAAGGTCACATATTGTATGATTTTATTTTAAATGGTATGTTCAGAATAGCAAATCCATAGAGACAGGAAGCAGAACAGTGGTTTCCAAGGGTTAGAGGAAGAGATATATTGGAGGTAGTTTCTTTTTGAGGGATGGAAATATCAGTTTAGACTTTGGGTAATAGAATTAGATAGTGATGATGGTTGTACAGCATGGTGAATATACCAAACGACTGAACTGCACATTTAAATAGTTAAAATGGTGAATTTTACCTCTATACAAGGTGGGGGTGGGGATTTCAATCTTAAGACATAGAAGCAATCACTATTAACATTTTGGCATATTTTATTTCAGTCTGTTTCTCTGCACAACTAAGATCACACTATACTTACATTTTTTATCTGTTTTTCACTTAAAATTACATTATACATATTTCTCCATGTAATTAAAAATCTTTGTAAACAATAACTTTGATAAATGTATGATGTTGTACAATGTAAATGCACTAAAAGTTACTTAATGATTCTTTCACTTTAGGATATATAGATGGCTTCCAACTTTTTACCATCCAATTTCATTACTACAAGTAATGCTGCAATTGGCCATCTTTGTGCTTATACTAGAACTGCATTTATGATTTTCAAGATGGATTTTTAAAACTAAATTACTAGTCAGAATTATAAAAATTTACAGCATTAAATAGTTTGTTAGACTGATTCCAAAGAAGTTATACAATTTACACTCCCCTAGCAGTATATGAACATCCTGAAGACTCTCCAG